CGCCATATCAAGTGGGAATGATGGCTTTGCGCTGTGTCCCATGAGCATCCTGGCTCAGGCGCTGGGCTGGTGCCTGCTGGGTAAATGGAACCTCCCGCAGCGCGGTGCTCACCGACATCGTGGATGAACTGCTCAATCTTGGCCTGCATGCCCCAGTATCGGAACTCGACCTTGCACAGCTTGTAGGCGCACATGAGGGGCCCCATCTGAGCCGCCTTGTGTGCCCAGTCATCAGCCAGCGGGCCTCGGCCCGTCTTCACGGAGCGGTACAGCCGGGGGTCCTCTTCTGCTTTGTACTCTCCGGGGGCCACTGCGTCCCGCACGATGTCGATGGTGTCTGAGGGGGTTCCAGCAGCACTGAGCTCGCCAGCCCCTTCCAGCCCCTGCCACCCCCTCTGCCTCCGGATCGGGAGGACATCCTTTTGAAGACAGGAAGCCACGGCCCGAGAGAGCCTGGGAATTGTCAGAAGCTACCCATCGAGGCGTCAGATAGCCTGAGAGGGTCCCCAGCCCCCCATGCCGCCCCCCGCCACTGGCTTCAGGCCTCACCCAGGATGCGCTGTCTCCTCTCAGCCCCGCTCAGGTTAAAGACATTTGGTTGCTGGCCCCCATCAGGCAGATAATAGGTCTCTATTTCAATGGAGAATTTCTCCACAAAGGGGCAGGTATACCTGGGCAGAGGTTAGGAGCGAGGGTCACTGCTGTGCCCACCAGGGCTCTTCCCCTTGTGGCCCCAGGCCTGTCCCGCCCACTCACCGGGTCCGGGTGTAGGGATAAGCGTTCCAGGATTCTTCCTCCACCTGCAGGGCGGCCTTGGGCAGCAGCGCCCGGAACCAGCCTGGGATGTGGGAGCCCACGTGGTACACCTTGTGTGTGTACTGCCCACTGCCACCGGGCCCATCTGTGTAGGGCCTGTTGGCCAGGATCTCCACGCCACTGCCCTCACCGCTTGACTCCTCCCGGCTCTTTTTCTGCAGTCCAGGACAGAGCAGAATGTGGAGCTCAGCTCCTGGGATCCCAGCTTTCCTTGGGCCCCTGGGGTGCTAGTCCTAGTCTTTCCAACACCCTGTGACCCTACCCTGGCCCCCTGCTGCTCCTGGGATCAGGATCACAGCTGCTGTCCAGTCCCCCACGGGTTCTGGGGGATCTGCAACCCAGCCCTCATTCAGTCATTCAAGTATCTATTGAGTGTCTGCTTCAGGCCAGGCCTTGTTTAGGGTTATATTAGTCAGGATATGCTGAACAGAATAAAGACCCCTGCCCTCGTGGAACTTACGTTCTAATGGAGGCAGACAGACACAGAAAAAGCAAATTATATGGTATGTTGGAGATAAAGTGCTATGGGGAAAAGAGAGCATAGATTAGGGTAAGGGGGGTTGAGATAAGGGTTGCTATTTCCATAGATGGGCAGAGAAGGCCTCGGGAGAAACATCTGAACATGACTTCAAGGAGGGGTGGGAGGCGCTGAGTGGACGTGGGGTGGGAGGAAGTATGCAAGGCAGAGGGGAGCCAGTGCAGGCCCCTGAGGCGGGAGCACGGTGCCCGCGCTCCAGGGGCAGCAAGGAGGCCGGGGTGGGTGGGCTGAAGAGCTGAGGAGAGTAAAAGGGGGCCCTACCACTCTGAGGACCTGACCCTGGTCCCCTCCCTCTGTGGACCCCACACCAGCTCCTGCCACACCCCTCCTAGCTGGAGAGCACTCGGATCCTGCCCTTTTATAGCTCTGGAGCCCAGACTTGGCCCACGCCACTCCGAGGCTGGATCCTGGCCCTCATGACCCTGAAGACCGATCCTGAAACACGTCTGGAACAGGCCTGCCTGAGGGCCTGGACCAGCCCTCTCCCCTCTCTGAGAGCCTGCCGGGCCCATTTTTCTCACAGCCCAAGCCAGGCCCCTACGCCCTTCCTCTTAGCCCAGACCTCCCTTGCTTATCCTCCGGGGTCCTTGCCTGCCCCTGTGTTTCAGTTTTGGTGCCTCATCCCATCCCATCCTCATCCCATCTCCCTGACCAGGGCTTTGCCAGGATCCTGCGGACTCTGGGGACCCCCTCCCACTCCCTGCCTCTCACTCTTGCCTCCCCAGTACTCCCTACCCCTACAGGATTACAGATTCTGAGGAGGATTAAAGGAGATCATACATGGGCCGGGCACTGGGGGGATGGGGAGCCACGCTAGGCCCTTCTGCCTTTCCCCCCACAGCCCTTACGATCTCCCCCTGCAGCTGAAGGGGACCTCTCTCTTCTCCTCTGGCCTCAGCCCTTCCCAGGCCCGGAGCAGGTGGGGCTGAGCCCCAGCCTCCTGTCCCAGGTGCGGCCTGCATGCTCCTGCAGGAAGTAGGGCCCCCTCGGTCCCCCGCTTCCCTCGCTCTCACCAGGATCATGTAGAGCTGGGCCACCTGGTACTCGTCCAGGCTCATGGGCAGCAGGATGTGGTACTCCTTGATGAGCATCCTGAAAGCGCTCCGCGGGATGCGCGCGGCCTCCGCTCCGCCTGGCTCAGGGCACGGCGCGGCAGTCAGTGCGG